CTCCGGTTAGAAACAGACTGACAGAAAGCAACTCACAGATTCTAATTTTCTGACTGCAGGGGGACTGACGCTGATAGCTCAACAATCCAGCGACGAGTAGCACAGTGCTGCCATCTTAAGTAGGGCTCGGGATTACGAAGATAGGCAGCAGGTGTGGAGATGGCGTGGGCCAGGGGCGGGAGCCCATAATGAGCACCAATGAGCATAATGAGCTGATCATGCAAACAGTTCTTTTAGCCCGTTCTAATTTAATCACATTATACCGAGATGATATTTGACAGTTGCTGGATTTTTCAAAGAATGTAAGTATGTAAAGTACAAAGTTTGGTTTTTTTTTTTTTTTTTTTATATTTAATAATACATTTATACGTCAAACAAATATACTGTGACAAATTTTTTCAAATCCACCAATTTTATCCTATGACAGCAACAGATGTTACAGTAATTCAGTAATTCAAAATTTAATTAAGTTGAGTGACAAATGACATGTCCACAGTAAAGCTTTATTCATATCGATCGTAACTGTATAGATATTTATGTTTTTATTTGGAAGCTGATCCTGTATCATTAATAAACATGAAGCCTGTGACTGAAATGCTCTGTACACATGAGTTGTTACTATTTTTTTGGATATATTAAACACATTAACTCACTAAATCCTCTCATGTAAAATTGCAGTAATCCATATTTTATGTTAGCTCTATAGAGCTTATTGTATTGAATGATATTTATGTCATAACGTATGTGCAAGTAAAAAAAGCACAATTCAAGCAAATAATTTCATGTCCCAAATGCAAGCAATTGCCTAAGTTTGACTACTTTATCTATTCCGTAGCAATCTTTAGCATAATCTTTACTTGTATACTTGTATACTTATATACCGTGCATTTTAATGAATTTAAAACATGATAAAGTAAACAAAAGACAGAACGCTTTTTCTTAAACAAGAGCTCAATGTTTAGGAAAAATACAGTTTTTCTCTATTTAAATGAATGCCACTTTATAATTGCCTTGGAATTTAATAACATTATCAACAGTGTATCAAGAATATCATTTTTGATCTTTCCACACGTACGTGTAAAAAAACTCATGTGCAGTTTGGAATCAGACCTGTATGAGTCATGCATTTCTTATCCTCTGGAGGGCGTCCACATGTCAACTAAACAAGAGGGGAATTTAAAAAGTGGTCATGTATTTGTTTGCACTCTTTTCCTCTCTTGTGTGTTGTGAGCCCAGATGGGACGCCAGTGTTTTTCTACATGTACAGCACTTCTGTCTGCCCCCATGATGTCATACTGCCTTAGAGATGTCTTTAAGATTTGAACCAAAATTAAAATGAGCAATCTTAAGAACACAAAATACTTGTTTTTAATGTAAACTTGAGATGTCCTTCTCAAAGTCTTCCGAGTGCTCTTGAAACGTCCCGTAAGAATAAGACAAGAGGGTGTGACATCACAGCAGAACACAAAGAGGATGAGCAGACTGGTTTTGCTAATGAAGCTTGTGTGTGCACCAAAATGTTGAAGATGTTCTGTCAGTCGCTTCTGGTGAGTG